GTTTCGTGCGAGTCACGCGGCCGCAAACTTTGTCGCAGACTCTTATATGAAAGGACGGGAGACGGACAGTGAGACCTTCCGTCCCTTCATCGTTTGCAGCCTCCTTGAGATCGCGATAGGTTGATTCTCGATCACTGAATTGCTGAGCATATCATGATCTCTTCGCCACCTCTGAAAATTGAGGCTGTGAATTTGGTGCCTCCGGTTGTGAACTTCATTTTTACCTCTTTTTCCCCCTTCTTTCTTACACATGAACCCTCTTTCTTCGCCTTATTCGCTTATATTGTCAAATGCAACCTAAAAATATATAAATTGACGTGAGGAAGTATTCTAGGCCACAAATGACATTTAATTGGTCTAATCACACACAAAATGACATGGAAATACCACTGAAATGAAGGCTTACCAATTTTGGTGTTATTTATCCCGCCATTGAATACTCGTCTTTCTTCTCTTCGAATCCTCCGCCCATGCCATATTCTGTCTTGTTTGAATTTGGGGTTTCACTTCTCTTCCAACACTCCGACACTATTGAGTGCTTTATTTTATTTCTTCTTTGCAAATGATGGTTTAGAGGTGGCAATTCTCAATCCAATCCACCAATCCATTAAAAATATACAACTAATCCAGTCCATTTGATCCTAATCTAATTGGATTCATGGATTGGATCATGGATCATTGACAAATTACAATTTAGTACTTAAAATTTTTATTTTTTGTTTACATTTTGGTACCTCAAATTTAAAATTTATATGAAAATATATCATTGAAAAATTACATTTTGGTACCTAAAATTTTCATTATGACATTTTATTACCTAAACTTTTCATATTTTACATATTGGTCCATGGTTGAGGATATCATTTGGTTTCATAGATAATCCACCAATCCACTTTATCCAATCCATGAATCCACCAATCCATGTGATCCATGGATCCATTAATCCAATCCACCAATCTATGAATCCAATCCATTTGTGCTGGTACTTAGTTATCCGGCTAATCTCGACGAAATTCCTTCGATCCTTCCTCTGCAAATCCAGCACCAGGCGGAAGATGACACATGAAGGGGCTTAGGAATTTTTTAGGACTGTGAAGAATGATAGGGAAAAGAGCATAATACTAGTTTTAATTGAGTCACTAAAAATTAAATTATTTACCAACAATTCCGAATAGTTAAGCAAACAAGTTAGGACTTTGCTACGGTGACATGCACTTTCCGGTCGACCTCATATAGGATTAGGTCGACCTAATCTATTGTTTTAGTGTAAAAACAGTTTCATGGTGCCTACTTTGGAGATTCATAACTTACAATTGGCTAGATGGAAATTGGAGATTAATGGCTTATTTTGAAGCTTAAGTGTCCCTCTACACATTAAAGTACTAGGGAGCTCGATAGAAAGTTCAGAAGACCATTTTTGAACCTGATCAAAAGGCTATGCCAAAACTGGGAAACTGTCTGAAAATGGCTAAGTTTGGGAACGTGTTTGTGAAGCCTACTTTGGAGCTCAATTTGAGAGGTATGGATGCGATTCGAGTCCAGGGGCCTCTACCACGTTAAATTACGTATGTTTTTATACAAAGGCAAGGAATTGGATGAAAGATTCAATATCGTTAAGGCTTCAAACAAAAGACTCGAAGTTGCTATAAAGGTTGTTTTTGTGGCAGCTTGCTTGTGCTTGAAGTCTGCCAGAAAATAGCCTTTGTAGCAACTTCGACCCTTTTGTTTGAAGCCTTACAGATATCCAATCTTTCATATAATGCCTTGAATTTGTATAAAAACATACCTAATTTAACGTGGTAGAGGCCTCTAGACTCGACTCGCATTCATGCTTCTCAATCACTTCAATATGTAGAGGGACACTCCAGCTTCAAAGCAAACCATTAATCTTCAATTTCCATCTAGTCAATTGTATGATATGAATCTCCAAAGTAGGCACCATGAAACTGTTTTTACACTGAAACAACAGATTAAGTCGACCTGATCCTAAATGAGGTCGACCTGATCCTAAATGAGGTCGACCTGAACTAAATAAGGTCGAGCGAAAAGTACAAGTCACCGTGGTCACCATAGGCGCACCCAACAAGTTATTTTACACAAACCCTACGTTTTAATTTCATAGGTTTTAACGGAAAAAATTGAGCACAAATCTCTCAATTTTCAAATCTCATCCAAACGACCAAAGGTAATTTAATGTAAAAAACTGGAGGTGGTCCGCCCAACCCAGCTAGCTAACACTAGAGTGGCAATTATTATCCAAATCTTTTAATTCAATCCAATATTTTATTTAAAATATCCTTTTAAGTTTAATTGGATTGATGAATTAATAGATTGTTGATAAATTAAAATTCAGTACCTATACTTTTTATATTTTATATTTTAGTAACTAAAAATTTTCATTATGACATTTTTGTATCTAAATTTTTTTAAATGTAGATAATAGTCCAAAGCATTTGAATGTATTTGATACAATCCACTCATCCATAAATCCAATATACTTTCCACCTTTAACAAACACTAGGAGTCGTTTGCTTCGTGCATTTGAAAAATGATGGTTTTGGTATAATTTGAGTTTTGAAATACCATGGATATATGAGCGTTTTGGGTGCATTATGAATTTGATAAACACCATTGTTTATTTGATGGATTTTGTTAATTAAATGTGTATGTATAAAGTGTAACTTACCTTTATTGCCCTCAATGATATAAGAAAATATGACGGTAGGTTTGGTAAAAAATATGAACCCTCAAAGTCCATAGGTCCTACAAATTTTTTACTTTTAAATACTTGAAACAAAAAATAAAATTTAAATAAAATTCATCACCGAATCTTTCACCAAATCCATCAAGCAAACAAACCAGATGCCATGGTAACAGAGGAAACGCGTCCGTCCTTAGCTGGTTTGAACTTCGGAGTTGGGGCTTTTTCAGGTTTGGAGAAATACAAAATAAAAAAAAAAAAAGGGAAAGGGACGGCAGGAATCCGGCGCAAGGGTAGTAGTGAGTGGTGAAGACAGCGCAGAGGTAAAAAAGAATAAATCGCCGCCACAGTTCAAATAATACACTATTATCACGCGTTTATATGATTATATCTGTTAAAAAATGAATGAGAACTATATCCTTTTTTTTTTGCCGGTTCCTTCGTTGTCTCTCATTCTTTTTCTTCTTTCGGGACATTAAAATACATATCTACACAATAAATAAAAGCCAAATGAGAAAACTTGAAGTCCCATTTCAAATTTCCTGCATCCAGAGTGAAAGTAGGAAGGACATTTTGGTCTTCACAATTACTTTTTTTTATTCATTAAAAAGACACTTACTAGGATTCGAACCATGACCATTTTAAAGAAAAACAAAGATCATAACCAATCACACTAAGTACATTTGTTGTATCTTTTTAAATTAAAAACATATAATTGCAGAGACGAAAAAACTCTTCCCCCATTTAAAATTTCATGCTCCAGGAGCGTTTGTAGGAAGAGTAGAATAGGGAGTGTCAATTTTTTTCTTTTTCGTCTGTGGAACGGGCCAACTTACCATACACATGCGCATTTAAACGGGTCCAGGAGTGTCAATTTTTTTCTTTAAATCCTTTTATTTCTCCATGGTGGTAAAATATATATATGAAAAGGCAAAAACAATAATCCTTTTTATTGCTAAAAAGAAAAAAAATTAACAATAAACTAATGCATGGATTCTAATGGGCTAACCGCTAATCATAAAATAAAAGAGTTGAACGGGTCTGACCTACATGGGATTTGCCCATCAAGTAAAACAAATGAACATCATGGGTTTGCCATTCTAAAACAAGATATTTTCTCTAGCATAATATATACTATGCTATTATTTTATATCTTAGTGGCTAAAATATAATGTATTTTAAAGCTATTCAATGGTTCAACTTCGACCAACTCAATTAGTCCAATTTTATCATTTCAAATATATATTATGTAATTATTTGATATCATAATGATTAAATTATAGTGTATATTATAGGAAATCGTTTGGTATTTGTTAGTAAAAAACTAAACAGAAAGATCTATTTGGTTATTTTAAACATTAAAACGATCCTAAACATTTTCAGTTTCCTTTCGAAATTCTATAGTTTTATTCCCGAATCAGTGATGTGCAAATGGTGAATTGCAGTCATCTCTTTTCTTTCATTATTTTTTATTTTCAAATATAAAGTTTAAAAGTAAATAATAATTAGAGTTTGGCATGGGTCGGTCAAACAAGCTGAATTTCAAGTTTTGGCCCATTTTGATCAAGTCTAATTTATAATCACATGGTTCTCTGATACCCTATAAAAATCTCAATCCAAACCAGTTTGGCAGGTGAGTCCGTGTTTACCACCATTTTCTAGGGATACAGGAACGGTGGTTCCTATCCCAAATCGTGCTGTTCATTCTTGATTTCTTTAGATTTTAATGGCTTGGCAAAAAACCAGAAAGCACAATGATGAGAAGATGAAAGTTTTATAAAGCAAATTAATCGGCCAATGGGCCGAGTAAAAGCTAGCAACGATTGTGAGATGCTCATTTCCCGAAAATCGGCGGATATGCGATTTTTTATTCGATTTTCTGGAATTCGGTTTCTATAAAACTTACTCCACCTCATCATATTACCAGAAACAATATTGTTTCACAAGGTAACATGTACTTGATTTTGGTTCATAAGGCTGATTTTTGATTCGTTGCATCATTCATGTCTCTTTTCTACTAAAATTCACTATTTTTATCACGTGTTTCCCAAAAAAAAAAAGGGTTAATACCTTAGTTTGGCCCGAACTATACACATACTTTCTACTTTGGCCCGTTTTATTGAATATTGCTACTATGGCCTGAACTATGTAGCAAACTTCCTCATTTGGCCTGGAGGCGGGTTTGACCGTCAAAATAGACGGTCAACCAAGTTGACCGTTAGTCAATTGCCACATCACCTGCCACGTAGACATTAAAAATTAATTTTTTTTACAAAAAATAAAAAATAAATTAATAACTCTACAAAAAAAGGAACGAAAAATAAAAGAAAAAAAAAGGAACGAAAAATAAAAGAAAAAAAAACCACAGCCACCCATCCCTATCTTCCACGCAGATCTTGACCGTCGGTTGGAGATCCTCCGGCGAAATACTCTCGATTATCTCCGTCGAGAAGCTCTCCCTCTGCAGAAACCCGAAGCACGACTCCGGCTGCAATTCCTCCTCCCCTCCTCGTTTGGGAGAAGGCAAGCACTCCAATCGCTGCAATTCCCCGGATATATCGCTGCTACACCCGGAGAAATCACTGAATGCCTGCGAGATATCCAAAAACTCCTCCGCCGCCGCGGAGGAGGTCAAATTCGCCGCCGACGATTTCTCTGACTTGCCGGAGCAGTTGAGGAAGTTCCTGGCAGCGAGCTCCCCGAGGCGCATGTCCACAACAGAGTCGGTCAAGTTATCGGACACAAACCCGTGGTCAGGCGAGGCGGCGGCGGAAGCGAAGGAGGAACAGCTGTCCTCTCCGGTGTAAAGAGTGCAGCGGATCGTGCGCATGGAGCGGCCGATTTGGCGGTTGATCTTGGTGGTGGAGGCGGAAGGAGAGAGCAGGGGAGAGTAGAAATCCGTGCGATGGAGAGGGAATCGGCCGGAGCTGGAGAGGTGATGGTGGTGGTGGGAGAGGGAATCATCGAAAGACACCATTTTTATTGCTTGGAGTGGTAAAGGAAGGATGAATCGGAAATGGGTAGTGTTTGATTTCCGGAAAAATCTACTCTCTCATGGTTGCAGAGACAGAGAGTGGCTGGAGAGGAAGAAAGAGGGAAAGGGAAAGTGAAGATGAGAGATTTATAAATAAATAAATAAATAAATAAGGGCTGGGGGTGGCTGTGGTTTTTGTAGAGTTATTAATTTATTTTTTATTTTTTGTAAAAAAAAAATATAATTTTTAATGTCTACTTGGCAGGTGATGTGGCAATTGACTAACGGTCAACTTGGTTGACCGTCTGTTTTGACGGTCAAACCCGCCTCCAGGCCAAATGAGGAAGTTTGCTACATAGTTCAGGCCATAGTAGCAATATTCAATAAAACGGGCCAAAGTAGAAAGTATGTGTATAGTTTGGGCCAAACTAAGGTATTAACCCAAAAAAAACTATAGAACAATAAGCTATACACCCCATTACATTATCAAATTTCATACCTCATCTTTGTCCGGCCAAATGGCCGGGGGCCACGCTAGTACATATGTAAGGAAGTTGAAGGGTAGGTATGCGTCCATTCATAGCCATAGCTATAGGTGTCAATCGGGCGGGTTCGGACGGGTTCGGGCTGAGTTCAATCGGGTTCGGGTTCAAACGGGTTGCGGGTTAGTCGGGTTGCGGGTTCATCGGGTTCGGGTTAGTCGGGTCCGGGTTCAAACGGGTTGCGGGTTAGTCGGGTTGCGGGTTCAATGGGTTCGGGTTCAATCGGGTTGCGGGCAAATCGGGTTGCGGGTTTATCGAGTTTTGGGTCGGGCGGGTTGCGGGCGGATCGGGTTTCGGGTTGTTCGGGCCAGCGCATCAAGTAACTTAACTCATTACTCATTACCAACTTACACATTTTATTACACTAATTTAAAATATTTTCTCAACTTTCTAACCAATTTATTTCTACCTCGTATATATATACTTTATTTTTTTGAAAAAAACTAGTCAAAATGTTAAATCAATTTGTATGACTTGCAAACTTGTTATGTAATTAATCATAATTGGTAAAGTATTATAGCTAATAGTAATGGTGATATCAATATTTGCAACCAAAAGAAACCATTAATTGTTTATTTGATATTTTAGTATTAATTGAGTAGTAATTGGATTAAAGTATCTTGTTTAGTATAACCATGCAAATCTGGTATTTGGCGTGTGGTATTTGGCAAAAGCATAGTGATAAAAGGAGCTATTTCAAAATAACTCATTGCCCAAATAACTTCAGTAAACTGTTGCCAAACGAGTGATTTGTAAAATTGTTCGAATTATCTTAAAAATTGAACCATTAAAGATTGGCTATCAAATTTCGTAAAATTATTGTGACTTCAATCATAACTTACTCAATAGCATATATCCTATACACTTAGCCTTACCCTCAATCAACAATATTAAGTTAGTATATGTTGTTGATTGTATACCCTAAACCATCAATACATTATACACTAACCACATAACCTATACCCTGTAACACCCCACCCATAATCTCTATGGTTGAACCCGTGGTTCAACCGCGTAGCCAAATCATCGGTGTTACTGGTTGAACTCGATCATCTCAAACATCATATCCGATAATTAAACACAAACATAAACCGTTATCATACAAACTCATTATTCGAATCCCAACCCACTTATTGAATTTTACAAAATGTGGGTTTATTATTCAAGCGCTCAAAGCAAATATCCTAGGTGACCATGACAGAACATTGTTCCAAACTACCTCATGATGGTAGTACAGAAGGATAGGGCAGCCTCAGCAGTCTGATCCTAGTTGCACCTGCGAGCCTGAAAATAGACGTGGGTCAGCAACTAAGCTGTGTGTGTGGATCTTTCCCACGACTTAATTTTGGGACCGCAATCATCTAATCAAACAATCATAATCAATTATAATTTAGTACTCTAGATGCATCTTAAATCATCATATACAAATTACCGATCAAATTATCGAATCCACCACTCATCATCACCAAATCAATTTATCCCAATAAGATAATCACATAATTTCACGAACACATAATCAATGCATGATATGAAAATTCCGGTTAATTATTAATGGCGCCAAGGTCACCATACACTTACCCCTGCTCGAGCAAATCATCATCCGTGGTGCTCATGCAACCACCATACGCGCAGATGCGGGCTAGATCTACCCAAACCCATAATCATGTGGGGGTAAAGTGCAGGCCCTTTCTACGTCTATATGAATTAATATGATCACGAATCAAACAATTCAATTTCTCTCATCCATCACAAACGATCAGGAATCAATGCAGTCCCACTGATTAACCGGTCCATGCATAATCGATCCAGAATCAGTGCAGTCCCACTGATTAACTGGTCCATGCATATCTCACGTCAAACATTTCATCAAACCAATTCAGGAATCAATGCATTCCCGTTGAGTTCCCAATCCAAATGGATCTCATGTTTCTCATCTCATCAACTCATCATCATCTCAATCAATCCAGGAATCAATGTCATCCCACTGATTCCCAATCCATACTTATTTCTTGTCGGTTTTCAACTCGACATTCTCGAAATCCAATCCATCATCCAATCTCGAATCACATAAATCCTCATCATCCTTCGGTAACAATACTCAACAGTTCTAGATCATAATTCCTCATCCAAAATTCATCACACAACTTCATATAATAACCTCGATTCAAAATAATCATGAATAACCGGTTTGCGGTGAAAATACTTTTAATTCATTTTCCTTCGTTAAAATCCTCATAAAATCCATATAAATTATTTTATTGACACCAAATACCATTTAATCCAGTTCTGATCATACACAACCATCTAGAGAATAAAATCTCAAAATTTTTGTATTAACCATTATTTTACGATAATTTAAATTCTAACAAAATGGTAACTCCGAAAATCTCCCAAAAATACAAGAACCTTCATTTATCATCCTAAAACAGGTCTGTCCAGGTTTTATATTTTTCAACAGCTCAAAACCATGAAAATAATATTACACTCGGTCTTTACCGCAAATCTCGTATTAAGCTCGTTTTTACCATTTTAAAGATAAAAACTCCACCAACTGTCTAATTTACCATTTCCATAACAAAACCCATTTAAAAATCCATACTGAACATTTTAAAGTGATCAAAATCTTAAAGATAAATAAAACACGTTTTTACCGAGCTTTTCGTAAAATTCACCGTTATGCAGTTTTTAATCCGAAAATCATTTTCAAGTGAAATATTCTGCTCAATCTGCCCCAACCTCATTTTAGACAAAAAAAAAATCTCTTAGATCAGTTTTCGACTCAATAAACCCAACTATTCATTTTTTACGGGGAAACTCGTCAAATACCGATATTTACACCGTAAAATCCATAACAATCAAGAATAATCACCAAATCATCATATCAACAAATAATTCATCACCCACAGTAATCCATCCATCCAAATATGCAAATCAAGCATAAATAATTGATGCAATAATTAAGGTCCTCTTAATCCCCACACACCTTAATTTAGCCGATTCCAAGTCGGGAATTAAGTTCTAAAATTCCAGAGATTGGCTCCTAAAAATTCTCCTTGATTCTACGGTCCTGTAGGCGAAAACGGTTCGTCGTTTGGACGTCAAACGAAGAAACTGCGAGCTAATCATCGTTAGTACGAAATTACGGATTAATTGTTAATTTTCTGCATGTCCCAAAATCTGCAGAAAACTGGAAATTTTCCTACCTCGCGTACCAACTTCCCGGCCTTGTTTCTCCCTCGTCTGAGCTCGGAATTCAATTCCGTAAACTCTGTGATGCTCGTGGAGACTTGCTTTTCGCAACGGTATCAAGCTTCGTAGCTGATACTGCCTTTTGTAGCGCTGGTTGGGTTGACGAAAAGGTTACGACAAAAGTATCGTCGAAGAATTTCCGTTGAGTTGGTTGGACGATTTTGGCTTCGTAATGGGATTTGTGTGGGTTCTAAACCTTTGCTGGGCATACAGAGGTTATGATAGGCGTTTGTCAACTATCCTTTCCTTCCATTCTTTTCTTGTCGTATGAGAATGATGATATGAAGTGAGGAAGAAGAAGAAGAGAGGCTCCCCCTCTTATTAACTCTTGTTTCAGATCTTCATCACTCCTAATTAAGGCCCAGGCAGACCCTCATAAAGCTAAAGGCCTCCTTCTAAATCCTCAGGTCAGTTATGGAGTTGAAGGGACGAGTTTCAAGAGTTGCACCGCTTGGTAGAGTTTATCTGCAGCAGCGATGTAAGTTAAGTTTATTAAAATGCCGGAGTAGTATTTACACAAAAAGTCCCGTGTGACATAGTGGTCTGGCCACTTGTCTCTCCCTAGAACTTTGCCCAGGTTACAGGTTTGATTCCTGGCAGCCCCTTATTTATTTTTATTGCATAAGGCTTGGAGAGTTTCAAAGTGATTTCATTGATCCTATCTCGTATAGGATAACTTCTATATTTTTTTTCCAGCTTCAAATCGTACTATATGCGTCCGCTACTTGGAAAAAAATTATCCGATGTTCGGGATGTTACATACCCTATACCCTAACCATATGTCTTTGAGTTGTGATTTTGCTAGTATAGTTAATTTAAAAGTGAAATTCATACTTTGATTTTCAAAACATAGATAAAAAGTGATATTTGCTAATTGTTATACCTTAACCATATATCTTATACTTTACACCACATACCTTGTATCCTAACCACGTACCATAAATA